TACTAGATACATCAGGACATCAAAAATAAAAGAGCGCACTTCTACAGAAATTAGTGTATAAACCATCTCCAACGAGACACTGTTCCAAGTACCTGTTGGACGCGTCATTTCGAACCAGTCAATATTTCGCCCTAGGATACCACATTGCATGGTCTGGTTAACGATTGAGGCCTTTTGTTTGACGTAATCTTCAAACAAAGTCCGATCTACCTCCGACAGAACTGTTGTCAATGTCTAAAAGCAACACATCATTTACTTAAAGAAGGCCGCGATCGACGGTGACGTTTAACTGACCTGTCGCTCTTCCTCCGTGGTATTACCCAAATAACTGTCTATTTGTGCGAACATTTGGGGTATAGTGGTTTCTTTTAAATGATTCAAGTTCGATAATACCAAAAGAAGGCGGGTATGCTGAACACGGGTCAAAAAACGAACAGAGTTCAAAGACAACATACAGTGCTTCTTATGTCCATATCAGGATTGTCGAGAAACGTGTCAGGGTGAGCATCTGCTATTACAGTGGATGCAAAGGCCGGGGGCTTCCAGTCATCCGAAGCCAAGTGAACCAAACCGTCAAGGAAGGCGTACAAAGCATCGAGGAAAGCCTTAGAAATCTTTGAGGCAAATTCTGGCCGAACAACCTTCTTAGACAACGGTTTAGCTGTCGTAGATGGGTCACTTCCTCCTGCAATCTTGTAGGCCGATGAAATGTTATGTTTTTGGAAAGTTTGCATTTTAAGGATATACATGGAAGCTCCTGGCACTTGGGGATTCATTTCCCAGGTCTCGAGATAATGAAAAACTCGTGAATCTAGTAATGCAGATGAGCGGATGCTATGGAGACCAAAGTCCCTTTACCTCTTATCCATGTAAAACTTAAAACATCCAAGAATTTCCAACGTGCGCTATCCAGTAATTCCTGCAATATCGCTGAAAAATCATTGGACATATCGGTCGTCAATAGCTCATTAACACAGTCATTTATCTCTTGTAGGATCCGTGCAAGGTAGAAACTGGTTGTCAACGAATTAGATCCTGGTGGTAAGAAACTCGGTTCAATCGAACAGCCGTCGGCGATGGACGGGGTAACTGCCATATCCGACAAAGAGAAAAAGTCAGATAACAATGCTACGTATGTTTTAATTATATCCGCTGTCATGGTCTGTACTTGAGTAGGACTGCGTCGAGACGGTGTATCCTGGAGTGTTTGTTTAACGTCGCATTCGACGCTTTGTAAAGGGTGGTTTCATTACCTTTCTAAATTTGCCATCGATGTATGATTTTCCTATCCTTAAGAAGTTGGGTAGGCTTGTCAACATGACTTCCGAGATATTGTGAACCAAATCCACAATAGCCAGCCATATTTTTAATCCGGGTGCCTTGGCTATGAAAGAAAAAAGGTATTAACAAAATAAGGGGAAGATATAAATCAACATCAACATACAAATTATATTTTCTGCCTGTGATGTTCCGAGCGCCACCAGGTAGGTCTTGAGATATCCAGCTATGTCAGCATGCTGTTTCAAAGAATCTGATGTCATCACACCAGAAAAGATGTTTCGTCTCGCATCTGGATTACAACGAATATGAATGAAATGAATAATAAGCATATTTATTTCACCTTCAATGCATGCTATCTGAGCTTTATGAGTGGCCTTCATAAGCGCTGTTATATGGTTATGTTGACTATCGAAGAATATCCAAACAGGATCCTCTCCGTTGGCGCTTCCGAAATCAAGAAGGATTCTGTTTGGGAGACGAATTAGAATAGAAATGGTCATAACCTTGAAATATCAGTGTACTCTAGAATTTTTTCTTGTTGCTCTACTGGTCCCGGCCTCTTTAGTTTCTCCAGTAGCTCATTACGCATTAAGCCCATAACCTTCTCGACGCTATTCCAAAGTTTATCAAAAATTCGCCTCTGCTGTAATTCCAGCTGATTTTCTCGCTGTCTGCCATTAGCATCTTGATTGGCAGATACGCTTGAAAGGAGTTGGTTCGGTTTTAACACCATGAATTTGCCTTTCTTATAGTCCCGAAGCGCCGCCTCGTACTTTCCCTTGGGTGTAATTTCAGAGACGTAAAGGGGATGTATGGATAAGCAGATGCTCACCTCTTGTACCGCTTCAAGGAGAGAACCAGGAAGATTGAAGAAAAACTTGGACCGTTCAAAGACGCCCAGCGTTGAACGAACCTTGTTGGCTTTCGAGGCATTTTCCAAAACCGGAAGGAAGACCTGATCTGCTTTCATTGATGCTTCTATAGTGGTTGTGTAAACTACTTAATAACAGATTTTACGTGATGTACGACACTTACGCTTTAGTTGCTCTCTCAGAGCTTTAGAGGCATACTCCGTTTCATCCGCCAGAAGTCCTTCCTTCATCTCAGTATAGACGGCTGAGAAGAATTCAGCATTGAAAGAATGATGGGAGGAAAGAAAAGATTTTACCATCACTGCTGGCCTTGACCGCAACGAACCTGTCAATGTTTTCTTCCACCAACACTTTGATAGCTTCCGCACGGGAATCAATGGAATTCCTCAAGTTGGAAACGCCCACCGTTAGATCTTGATGGGTAGCATTGGGGTAGGCATGAGATAAAAACGCTTTGGGATCAAAGTATTTTGATGAAACCAACACCGAAGCTTCTGCAGAAAAGACATGAGAACGCGTTAGGAAACAAGGAGATTCCCTTATACGTACTTGATTCTAAATCAAGTTTGTCGATGCTGAGGAATTGTTAGAAGAAAGTGAATTCGATCTCATGGACAGCCAACCTACTCTTCAACAAAGGATCGTCTCAAGCCTAAGGGGTCGTTGTCAACGTCGCCTTGTGGGTTAGTCCAAACACTGGAGTCTAAAGCATCATGATCCACAGTCTCCCATTTTCTAGAAAATAGGTCACATCATAAGCACTTGGTTTCAAATGCATCTTTACTTCGGATATAATGTTGAGATTTTGTACGTCTTTAATATTGAGGCTTCGTCACTTGTCAAGTTCAGCCGGCCCATAGCATAGACCACGCCGATGGAAGTTGATTGTATTCTTCGTTCAAATCAGACATTGTCAATGAAATAGCAAACATAAAATACGTGTTTCCAATAGATCTCAAGCTTCCAATGGACTAGGTACAAGAGTAAATGAATAGCGGAAGTTGGTGGAAGCAGTAAATTGGAAGTAGAATGACTTGATGATGACGTAAGTACTTTCAGGTTACATGACAAAAAAGGAATAAATATTTATTTTCACACCAGTCTAATATAAGACTAAATGAGAGGATATATATGGAACCGTAATTGAATATCCTTGCGGTACATGCCCACAAATTCACTAAGTCATCATAAGATCCATCTGGACGATGACCGCTCTTTAGTAAATTTTTTTCTTCTCGTCAACGGACAATCCTCCTGTTATTGGGATGAAACAACAGCAAGAAAAGAAATACCAACAGATACTTACCTGGACCCATGTTGACAAGTAATAACAACCCTCCAACAATAGCTGGTAAATTGAACATACATTTAGCATGGTTACCCCATTTACTGAGTAAATGGAACTCACAAAGTGTTTGAAAGAAGTCGTATCTTGAATCAAATATAAACAAAAGGTAAAGGTCAAAATAATGCAGCTTACTTGAGAAAGTCACGTTGAGGATGGGCAGAATGTACGCTCCACCAATTATTAACGAACACGTTGAATGCCGAAAGTATGAGGACCAAAAACGCAGCCGACCATTTCGCTTTGAATCCGACAGCAACCATCCCGCAAGCAGCTAAACCGACTAAGGAGACAAGGACACGTGAGAATGACCATTTGCCCTGAAGCATGAAACCGAGGAAAAGGAAAATGAGTAAAACACGACCAGCTAATTGAAAGCTGGAATGACGCTATCGATAAGAAGAGAGTGTGACAGTATATTGTTAAACCTTACTATTTTCTGCGGTCATTCTCACTTAACATAGGTAAACCAGCAAAGCTTTTCTTTCGGGTACTCATGGAATCACTAAAGACCATGAGCAAACCTCCGATTACAGAAAGATTTCGGAGGAAGAAGTTCATGTCAAATATGAGACCATAGCCAAAGCCCTGAATAAGGACGACTGCAAGGAGACCAGCCACAGCGTATTCGGAGTGTCTCTTGGTGATGGTCAAACACGATCCACCAAGCATGGTCTAAAATCAACTTGAACTTGACCGGGAGGAGAAAAAAATACACCAGCTCACAACAACGTTGAGTAAAAGAAATAGATGTGAGAGGCCCCAAGGGAAATGCCTGTGTCTACAAGGTAAAATATAAGATTTACGTTTTCAAACAATGGGACAAAAAAATACTTTTGAAGATACCAAAGTTGATCGTTCCATTGGGTCAAAATTCGTAGAGAATCCTCTAAGAAGGTAATAACAATAAGAAATCGACCAATGGCTGGAAGGTGAGGTCTGAGAGGTTGCGAGTAGATGTCAACTATATCTTCAATTTTCGACCCATATTGTCGCAGTTTTTCTATTGGGTCGTCTGGATTAGTGGATGGGGGGCGGTAGGCTGGCCGTGGGGTAAAACTATTGGGATCTGGATTATACTGCTGATTGGGCCTTGCAATGTTAATCCTGGCAGACATAGTGAACGATGAAGACGGGAGCCAGAAAGGTTTATGCTACGTGGCCGAGTATGACCGGGCGTCTATGTTGAGGTAAGCATCTGGGAACGCCAAAGTCTCAAAAAAATCTACTACGGCCTGGTCAAGAACTGTACTCTAAGTTAGTCACCTTCGTACATGGTTTATAGTTGTTTGCGATTCAATGTGTAGGTTGATGCCACAGCTCATTTTCTAAAATTTCGACTGCTACATACCCTTGAGTCTTGAAACTTATAAACTTTGGTTATGCTGCTTCAACAGCATATAGGGTTGGCTTTTCTACTTTGTTTCCCTTTTCCCAGTAGACCAATATTCAACTTGTACTTAAATTTTTTGAAGTACCAAGAGATAAGAAGACAAAAAATTGGGCCTAGCCGGGAATTGAACCCGGGACCTCCTCCATACAAGCATGATCTGTGTTTAAACACGGGCCCTAAGAAGGAATCATACCTCTAGACCACCAGGCCTCACAGGCGTAGTAACGAAATAGTTGTGCATCAGCTAATCAGTATTAATACTTCTTCCACTCTCCTAATAAAAGTACATCCGAACCATTTACGTACAATACCATGGATTGTAAGCTATAAATCTATATTTCACATATATATGATAATGGTTCAGATTCATATTTACAGAGGTCTAGCATATGCGACATTTGAAATATTAAAAAAGTTGAAGTTATGAACACCATCAGAATGATCAGACAAGAGAGTGAAGTTATGATTATATAAGCACATAAGCAACCTGCCACAAATTTTGAGGCCTTGAATTGCACCGGTTCAAGAGGTACGTCTTGAAGCTTGATTAATGATTAATGATTATTTAAGTCTTCAATCAATCTTGAATCTTCGGATTAGAGCCAAGTCACGTGTTCGCCTTGAATACCTAGAAAAGTTGTAAGCATTGGCGTTTTCGCGTGCAATTCGTACACCTTCGGCCTAGGAAAGGTGTCGAGTTCAAGCACATCCTTGATCATTTGGTATTATGGATGATTCCAGCTCGCATAAAGAAGAGCGGGATGGGATGGGGTTCGTTGAGGTTGGAAATGAAGGAGCTAACGAACGATTGAGTAAGAGTGAAGAGGCTGAGGAAGACGTGGGGCTCAAAGAGGGGGCTGACGATGACGACATTCAGGGAGAAGTTCGAAAAGTCTTTTATAGAAAAACAATTGGGAGTGAAGGGCTTGATGAAGATGTCGGCATTGATGATGGCAGTAATGCTGATGACGACGACGATGAGGAGGAAGAGGAGCCCGCCTTGAAATATGAACGCCTAGGTGGACCAACATCTGACTTACTTCAGCGGGATAATGCTTCAGCAATATCCGTTTCTGCCAAATTTATCGTGAGCATTCTGTCATGGTTTCTTTTGATCTATACCTATACCTGATATTTGATAGGCATTTGGGACCCATTCAGGACTTCTTCATATAGTCAATTATACAGGGGATCGAATACGCTCATTTAAACCCCACGGAGCGTCAATCAATGATATAAGTATCGATAGCACAGAAAATTTCATAGGTACGGCCTCAATAGATGGTAAGTTACTCCATGTCACCCTTTTTATTGGTACCGAACTATTTTCAGGCGGGGTTTCTGTGAATTCGATGTCCAATTCAGATTCATATTCATTTGACATTCGAAGGCCCGTGCAAACAATAGCTCTTGACCCTCAATTCGCTAAGAACAGCTCTCGGATGTTTGTCTGCGGCGGTCTGGCGGGGAATTTGATTATATATGAAAGAGGATGGTTGGGTTACAAAGATCGGGTATTACATAGCGGAGAAGGTCCAATCTGGACCAGCAAGTGGCAAGGGAATTTGATTGCGTGGGCTAACGACCTGGTGTGTTGTGTTGCCGTTGTATTATTTGCCTAATGGATGGGTCATGCAGGGTGTGAAAATATATGATCAAGAGTATCAGGCTCGGATAACCTATATAGACCGACCCAAAGGTAGTCCCCGTCCGGACCTTTTCAAATGTAGCCTTTCTTGGCAAGACGACTCTACGTTGCTAATTGCGTGGGCTGACTATATCAAAGTAGCCCGAATTCGTGCACGTCCACGTACAGCTCCGGGATCTAGTTCTCTACCTCCATTATATGCTGAAGTGACGGCCGCGTTCCAACTGGATTGTATGATTTCGGGCATCGTCCCACACCCAACTCCATCATCTTCCACAATTTCCGTTTCTAATGCTCCCAAGTCTTTCCTTGTCCTGGCTTACACGGTTTCAGACAAGGTAATTAATGAGGTCACAGTCGACAGATCTGAGCAGACTCGAAAAGCTGCTAGCCGTCCTGAGTTGCGAATTATTACACGTCGTGGTGAAGAGCTTTCATCCGACGAGCTCAGTCTCCCCGGATATCCTTTATTTCAATGCAATGATTATTGCTTGGTTCAAGCCGAAGGTTTTTCCGGACAATGTCACGTTGTTTTGAGTCCAAAGAACATAGTCTTGGTCAGACTCCGGGATAAGAAAGATCATGTCAATTGGCTCATCGAAAGGAAAAGATTTGAAGAAGCCTTGGATATAGCTGAGTCCTTGAAGGACGAGGGTGTTGAAATCGATGCAAATGCTATCGGGCAACAATACATAGAATATACTTTTACAGAGGGTGAGTTGAAAACCTGAAAGTAGTAAGGTTTGTTTTTTTCATGCACATTAGGAAAGTATGACAAGGCTGCACATCTATGTCCAAAAGTATTTGGTCAAAATGCACTGCTTTGGGAAAAATGGGTGTTTCGATTTGCACAGCACCATCAGCTTGAGGTACGTGGAAAGGCTATAGAGAATAAAGTCTTATGTTGAAGTGCACATAGACAGTTATACCTTATGTTCCTACGGATACCCTCCAATTAAACCATCTAGTCTACGAAATGATATTAGCCCATTATCTGGCTCATAACGCTCAAGTACGTCTTGTCATCAAATCACTTAGAAGGTTTAATCGATGCGTGTTAGAATCTATTGCGGACCATTAAGTCCTGGCCGAACACAGTGTACGACATATCCGCGGTAATTATCGCTGTTCAAGCGGAATTAGATAGGGTACCCTCAACGAGTCCTCGGGGTATCTTGCTGATGGATTGCCTTGCCGAACTGTCAGCTTTTCCATAATGACACTGTTTTTGTTTTGAAATTTTGCAGATACATTGCCAATCGCCAACCAGGCAAAGCTCTACCTTTTCTTCTGCGTCTCCGACGACCACACGTTTTCGATCTTATCCGTGAAAACAACCTTTTTACTGACGTCCAGGATCAAGCGTTACTACTTGTTGAATTTGATCAAGAACTTATGGAGAAGAAAAAAGTGCATGAGAAAGTGCCCGTCAGAAGCGTGGCTATAGCGTTGTTGGTGGATCATACACACTCTATCCCTGTAAATTCACTTTGATCAAAGGTATTTTGTTCATTCTGATAGCTCCCTAGGTGACTCGAGTGGTTCAACAATTGCAACCTCGACCATACTTTCTTTATTTATATCTTGACGCCTTGTTTGAAAAGGATCCTCAATTAATGTGGGACTTTAGTGATTTACAGGTTGCATTTATTATAATCTCGATTGTTCGTCATGAATTCATTTGTATGTTAGGTGAAACTATACGCCGAATTCCGTCCAGGTCGACTTATCGATTTTTTACGGACGAGCAGTCATTACAGCTTAGAGGAGGTATTAATCCCTCACATATCTTCGAGGATTAATTCAGTTTTTCTGTAGGCATATAGTATCTGCCAGGAACGCGACCTAGTCCCCGAAATGGTGTTTCTTCTTGGTCGTATGGGAAATAACAAGAAGGCGTTGTATTTGATTATTGATCGGCTAAATGATGTTTCCCGGGCTAGTAAACTTACTATCCAAGTGAGTTTTCGTGCTAATTTCCCCGACTAAACAGGCTATAGACTTCGCGAAAGAACAAAATGATGATGAATTATGGGAAGACCTTCTGCGTTATTCTGAAACAAGGCCTAGTACGTTATAAATAAGAAATCTCTCTGACTGTGTTGATATTGAAAGTAGAATTCATTCACGTTCTTCTGGAGAACATCGGTGCCCAAATAGACCCAATTCGTCTCATTCGTCGAATCAAGAACGGTCTCGAGATTCCAGGTCTGAGGGGGGCATTGGTGAAGATTTTGCAAGATTTTAATGTGCAAATTTCTCTTTTGGACGGATGTCAAACTATCCTTCACAGTGATTGTGACGATTTATCTCGAAGATTGCAAAAGAATCAAACTAACGGCTTTTTTGAAAATGGTGAGATTTTGCTCGGAATGGTTTTGTATCAAATTGATAGCTATCAACCAGCTGTGTCGACGTGTCCTATCTGTTCATTACCTCTGTATAACTCTTCTTCTTCAATAACAATGTTGTTCCTTTGTCGGCATGTCGTGCACGCCAGTTGCGTCAAATGTGGCGATGGGCTGCCCCGATCATACAACCCTGCTGTCCTTAGCATGGGTAGTTTAGACCGGGAGCTTAACGATAAAATAGCTCTGTATGTCAGATTGTTATAGTCATTCTTATTACAATAATCTCAAATACGTTTAGCACAGCTCTGGTGCGCTCACGGTTGCCTCAAGGCTGTCCCGTTTGTGACAGAATGAATGAGGGACATAGGTCCTCATAAAGTTTTTTTGTAGGGTGGCTTCCTCCCTTCGAAGTCCATCTTTTTCAAACCCACGCATTCTGTCCGTATATATGCCTACCTCGAGTTTCTTGATTAACCTATAACGATTTTGCTGTGCGCCATATTCAATTCGATTGTAACCTTTCGCAGTGAACGTTCTTCAATTGGAGTTTTTCCTCCTGTAACCGAGTTTAAGCTTAAGAAGTACGGGAGGGAGCTTCCAATAAATCCGCGTAGACAGATACCAATATACTAAAATCATCGTAGAAAAGCCGAACGAGTTGACAGGATAAGTTTCATGATAACCCTACTTCTTCATTGAGTCCTGTTTCGGGATACATAAATGGCATTGTCGGGGGGTGGATGAACACTTGAAAACGAATAGATACATGACATACACATAGAAATATATATATATATTATATCGATGCATAGAAACTCGACTGGAACCAGAGATGTGAACTAAAAAACGAAAAGGAGAGCGTTATAATGTGATGTTTTTGTGGTATTCGAATGTCGTGTGCGAATTGTGTAACCAGTGCATACATTGGATGAAAACGTCACTTTCATGAATTACAAAATTCTCACTTATTCTTCCCAAATAACGATTTGAGTCCAAACCGTTGCTTCAATGGTCGAGTAGTCCCTGATACTGTGGGTTGTCCCGCCGTAGATCCCCAGTCATCAATAGTAGAAGTGTTAGTTGTGGTGATAGACGCATCAGGTAAAACGGGGGTTATACTTGAGGGAGAAGAAGTTATATTACCAGGTACGGGTGCAGGCAATTGATTTTGAGACGCCGGCATTGTGAATCCGAAATGGTTAGGTTCTTGC